CCCGGCGTTTCGCAGAGCGCGGGAAGGGCGGGCAGCCGTAGGTGTAACCGCATGGTTTGGGGCAGGTGAACACGGGAACTATGCTCCCCTCCCCCCCTTTATATTTTCCTTTTCCCCCGCTTCCCCTCGAGGGTTGTATTTTCCTGATATCTGGGGCATGGAGGGAAACGCTGAATCAATTTCTAGCGCAAGCGAGGAGCCATTAGATTTTGAGAAGTGATTCCAACATGACACAATACCGGCTAATCAGCGCTAGGGCCGTAAAGGGATTCCTAATTCGATTCCGTTTGACAGTCAGCCTGCTAATTTTGACTCATGTGCCAATTGGCTGTCGCGCATTGAAAGGATGCTTGGTTTAGGGCTCGTGCTGTACTCCTCCAGGTCCAAGTCCTCGGAGTGTAACGGACAGCTTTCTGCTGATTTCAGTGAGCTCTGGATCTATCGTTATAGAAGTACCCTGCTTTGCATGGAGTACTCATTATTCTCCACACGTCATCTGAGAAGAGAAAAAGCGTCCTTCTTTGCTATAACTGGGGCACAAAGAAAGTCTAGGTTTGTGTGGCAATAAAAGGCCAGTCATTTCCCAGTTCCCTCTGGAATCTTATAAAACTGCTGAACATCCTTGCTTGCCTAAAGTGGGCAAATTAAGGCAAGATTTAAAATCAAAGGCTAGGAATTGAGCAGGGGTTAAACGTGAGTGCGACGAGGACAGTTTCCAAAACCAGCTGGGGGAATTGAAATATGTCAGTGTTGTAAAATTTTTATTTCTATTTCAGGATCTGTTGCAAAATGTGAAAATGAAGGAGAAATTCTGCAGATACCATTTATCACAGACAACCCTTGTATAATGTGTGTTTGCCTGGTAAGTTTGGATTTCAGATAGTAAGAACATTCAGGCCTGTACTAAAAGTAACTGCACATAGAGGGGAATATTTCACATAAGCAAATCTTGGGTGCCTCTGTCGCCTTTATGTAACACAAGGTTATCTCAGAGCTGAGCTAATGGAAAGTAATCCAATCCATGATCTGGCAATCATTTCTTTGACTTTAAAACTCCCGGGCACAAAGTTGTACGTGACTTTAACATGACATTGTGAAACCGCATTTACCATGTGAATCTGGAGGGAGAACTGTGTTCGCAAAGTCAGGGGTGCACACGCGAGTCTTTGCGCGTAGCTTAGCAAAGAGAGCGAAAGGTAAGGTTTGAAACGCTGCTGCTTCGCGGTCCCGCGTGCGCGGTTCCACACGCTGGTGGCCGAGGAGCTGCGCAAGGGTACAAGGTGAAGGCTGCAACGTGACCCTCCGCGCCGTAGTAAGACGACAGCGAAAGCACAAGCGATGCTTTCATCAAAGCGCTTCGTTCCAAGGATGACACCGCCTGCTGCGCTGGGAATTCAGTGGTTAATAATGTCACTAGCTGATACACATTTTGAGGAGAAACATTCCTTTTCCTTGTAACTCTGCTTCAGACTTAAGCGTTTTTGGGAGCAATTCAGCTGGACAAGCCCAGGCTTAGGCGATATTGAAAAACAGTTGTTCTAAATAAAACTTCCTACAATATATTTAAAAGAAAGCCATAAACCTTAATTTGCTGTTGAATGCAAAGAAAAGTATAGACCAGAAAGCACTACGTTTTACATTTTGGAAGTTATAGAGTAGCTGAATGTACAGATTGTGCTCTGCTTTAGGAATGAAATATCAAGACACCCTCTCCCCCTCTTCTGTTACTGCTATTAATATTATTAGCATAAGCCAGCATTATTACAAGTCTATAAAAGACTTAAAGAATTGTTTCAGACGGCCTTTTAGAAGGCAATTTTGGCAACTGTAGGAACCTGATCTTGAGCCCCCTGAAGTTGATGTATATCGCTGCACTGAGTTCAACAGATTTTAAGTAAGACTTAGTGATAACTTTTTAGCTAATAGTGATAAATAATAAGTTATTGATTCTTCTGAGTAGGGGAGGATGGAGAAAGGAGGAGCATGGGATGTGGTGAGAAAAGAAATCAAAGGGAAAACAAAAAAAGAGATGAAGCTGTGTTTTATCATGGATCACCTTCCCAAATATGTCTGCCACCACTCTTGCTAATGGAAGCTGGTGTTAACCAGCGAGGAAGCAATTTATCTGTGAAGGAGCAGAAGTTCAGTCTTGGGCATCAGGGCAATAATGCATCAGGGTAAAGTACTTGTATTTATAGATCTCTCTAGACCTTGGCTTTATTAAATCAATGAGCACCCTTTTAGTGCGTGAACGTGAAGAACTGCAAAAAACATTGGATGTAAGAATTCTAAATCTATGTGGTTTGTAGGGCATACTTTAGTGAAACGGCAACTGAGGGCATTTGGCTGCCTTCTGTGCAAGGAGGACACTATGTTTTATTAAGAATATGGATGCTTAGTGAGTTACTGCAGTTACCTGCACCGGGCACGCTCTGTTTTATTTCTGCCAAAGGATAAATGCGATCTCTGTTTCTTGAGTTGGTAGCTTGGAGACCTGGTAGAGGACAAGGAAACCAGTCTGGAGATACTGACTTTAACGCTGTGCAGCATCCAAAGCAATGACTTATTGGACAGCTGGTTGCTGAAATCTTTGTTCAGGCCTGCCACAAGGGAAATTTTAAGAGGTCTGGGGAGAGCAGAAATGAAAGAAGCGATGTGGTGATTTGTGACCAGGAGGGAAGAGAGAACCAGGTTTCCTTACACCCAACTAGAAATATTGATTGTTTAATAGTGATTCAGTGAGGAACTTTCTCTGGAAGACTGACCATACTCTTCAAGGGCAAACCTGATGGATGTTCATATCATAAGAAGAGAGCAACTAAGAAGAGAGCTTAATCAGCTGTTCCAGGAAGGAAGCAATTGCTGTCCAGGAGAGGACAGAAAATTCAACAGAGGGCACTTGTGTTAAAAAAAGCAGTAAAGCGAGTAACTGAAATATTGGATTGGATTATGGCAGGTCTACCCTAGTGGCGATACATTTCCATGACTGCAAGCTGCCATAAATAACTGCACAAGTTACTGAAATCTGAATGGCTCTGGGAAGAAGAGGAATATCTAAATAACGCCCTTCCAGGACTTTCCCGTCTAACAAATGAGAGGAGACAAAACTGAAATGCTGGAACCAAATCATCCAATGTTGGACAGAACTGACTCTGCAGGTTGTGTCCTGCAGAGCATGGGGATGCATCCTAGCAAGGGAGAAAGAGGCAGGCAGCGTAAGCAAAGCAGTCTCCAGCTTTCTCTTAACAGGCTAAATTAGTTGGGAGGGCAAAGCAAGGGGTAGTACTCTAAGAGCAAATGTGGTGAAAACTGGAAATTCATAGGCAAGTTGCAGTAACGCAACAAAGACTGCAAAGAGCAATTAGGAATGCGATTCGTTATACGCCACTGAGAAGTGTTGGTAGGAAGGCCAAAACCAAAAGTTGTCTTTTCTCATTGATTAGCAGAGACTGGGTGGACTGATTTTCATGATGGGAACATGAATGGGAACAAGGTAGGCAGAGCAGACACTGGCTTCTGGGGGTGCTGCTTTAAGAAAGCCTGCAGCTCCTGTTTTAGAGTTAACTGGTAACACAGAACCCTGATTCTTAAATATATAAGGGACATTGGTGGGGATCTCCTGGAGGCAGCCAAGTCTAGCTACCAAGCAAGATGAGTTCATTCTTAAGCATCTGCTGTAACGTGTGGAAAGAGAAGTCGTGGTGACATGGGAATTCAGACTGGGGGACATGTGCTGGAGATTTTGTATATAGTACATAGTAAATAATTCATTTCTAAAGTATAGGTAATGCTTTTCTAATAAAAAGGCATGGCACCCACCATGAGATAACTCTGTTTTGGACTTCCCTACTTATCAAAATGAAATGTGGGGGAGTGCATGGAACAACACTGATGCTTGCCGTTAATATAAGGAAACACGTAAGACTAAGAGTGTGTGTGTGTAAACGTACACTGGTAGATGTGTATGCAAGAACTACCAGCTGAACAAGCCATTATGGCTAAAATCTAGAGTTCCCTAATTTGTAATTTATATCTCTCTATGGTCTTAATAATGCCCATAAAAATGGTCATTTTTAACATCTGTAAGACTAGTTTCAATGTGAGCTTTTACAATTACAACACTTCAGCAGTGGTATATTGCTGTCCAACTAATCATCTCTAAGCGCTTAATAAACATGGATGAATTTGATCTCCAAAGGACTGGTCATTAATTACAGCTGACTGCAAGAAGTGGCCATTTTTTTTAATTTTTTTTTTTTTTTTAGAGAAAAACACATCAAAGTCAAAGAAAGACTGTGGTTTATCCTCAAGGAATTTCTTGTAGGACTGTGATGAAAGCTCAGGTCTCATAACTCCTGGTCTAATGGTTTGACTACAAAGCCATCCCTTCTCACTTCGTGCACTTTCATTTTACAAGTGGCTGTGGGTGGTATAGTCACAGTATGAACACACTCATTTTCTTTTTTGTCTCTCTGACAACGGGCAGGCTGCACAGATGCCAGGTTTTTGGTATGTCTGCTCTCCTGAGCTTGTTCTGAGGCATGGACGGGCAAAGGCAAATTAAAGCTGACTTCGTGATCCAGAGGTTTTGAGAACTGTGATTTATGATTTGCTGTTGCTATCTGCAAAATGCTGTTGGAGCTAGCGTGCTTTGGTCTTCTGCCCACTTCCACTTCGAATGTCCGTGGTTCCACATCTCCGAGGAGATATGCTATCTCTGGAAAGCTACCGCACCATCTGGCTTTCCATAGGGTTTGAGGTACTGGAATAGCACAAAGCAGGCTGAAGGCAACTGAAAGTATGTGCTTTCTTGTGCATTCACCTTATATGCTGTTAAATACAGAAACTGGAGAAAGCACTGGCATCCTTAGTATGTAGAGCTAACAGTTAAAACATTAGAAGTTGCACTGGAAAATTGTTTTTCTTGAAGCGAGGTCATGTAAAAAGTGCAGGACAGCCTATTTGTGAAGTGCCATGGCTGAGCGTCCCATTGCAACCGTGTTTATAGCTAAAAACTTCTCTGATGAGAAGAATGCTCTGAGCTGCAGCAGGCTCTGTATCAGAGGAAGGTGAACATCTGAAAGGAAATGCTGGATGTGATGGTCGATAATAAGGACTAAGTCAACCAACTCTGTGAAGAAAAAATATGGTTGTCAAAAAAAGGGAAACTATTATTTCAGAAAATAATGTGTCCCTTGACAGTACAAAAAAAAAGTTAGAGAACATATGATTGTGAAATTATTTTATGCTTAGTGGTCAATAGTAAGAAAATCTCATGTCCTGCTGGTTCTTGAAAATCAGAGTAGTGAAACTGTGGGTTATGAAGTTGAAAGTAAAAAGTTTGGGCTTTAAAGAACTCGTCTGAATTGGCAATGATGATTATAGGTAAAAATGTATAATCTTGATGGTATTCATAACGGAATTATATTGATTCAGTTTGAGAAATGGATTCTTTTATTCCAGTTATTAAACACTTTAAGACCACAAGCAATTATAACTGTACTACCTAATGCAAAAATTGTCTTCTAAAAATATTCTCCCACATCTGTGGAAAAATGAGTTTATTTCAATCCATAGGAGCATTTCACAGACCTTGTGCGGTTTGAGGAACCCAAACACGTCATGTATGACAGATTCAGATCTTTATATTTCAGATGTGAAAGTTTTAGGCTGAGGGTAGTGGAGGCATGGGTGAATATGTTCTAATCCTAATGTTAGTAGAAACAAAACTTTGTAAATGGGAAAACTTACCATGTTTTGGTAAGTTTTGGACTTTTTGTAGGATTTTGAAATGTTAGGGGGAAAATGCTATTAACAGAATATTGGGAGAACTTTTGGTTAGATTTCTTTTATATGGGTGTC